TTTAATTTTTATGGGTTTTTACTATTATTTATTTAAAAAAAATCAAAAAAAAAATTGATTTTTTTTTATAAATACTTCATTTTTTTGTTATTTTTTACGATTTTTAATAGTTTTTACGATTTTTTTACTATTTTTAAGATTTTATTATGAATTAAAACATTTTATTATGAATTAATACCCGTAGGGGTATTTAGGGTACAAATCAATGTTTAGTCCTATTTTAGGGGTTTAAAATGTAGTAATCTTATTTGTGCATTTTAGGTTATCTTTAATCCTACCTAGAGCAATTTCTAATTAATATTCCATAAAAACGTACAAAATCATCTTAAATAATGCACAACTTTAATCCTATCTTTAATCTTCCTCCGTCTCTTTTTAGTTGCAACAGTCAACATTTCACGTTTACCAACGCACAACTTTGACCGTCATTATATTTAATTCTGTATTAGTAAAAATAAAATAAAAATTAGATTATAAAACTTAGTAATGAGACGAATTTAACAACATTTTTCAAAAAAATAATTCACATACATTAATAAATAAAATGTAGTCAAAGCTAGTAAAGTACATGAATAGTGTATATATTTCAATGTTGCAATTAATGAGATACAGAGGATAGTACGAAATACTCCGTACTATATATGTTTTTGTTTTAATAAATATGTATGCCCTCCGATTGAATGGTTGTGCTTCATTCAACTATCATTTCAATTTTTGTGATCGGGTGTTACCTTCGGTTCTTCACGTTGTCCTTCATTTCAGAAAATAATCTATAATTCAAACATTAGTCTTCAGCTAAAGCTCAAAATACCACAAACATAACTTATCCGAAAAAAACGCACAACTTATTAATTAAACATATTTCTTACAAAGTATTAAATGTTGCTTTGAAAATATTATATTAGCAAACGAGTTATTACTTATTCATCAAACGCGTTTATCATATATAGGGCTGATTTCATTTGATTATTTTATTTGATTTTCATTTGTCTTGATTACGAACGCATCACAGTTTTCCCTACATGTTTTTAAATCTTCCAAGTTTTTCAATGAACCTCTCTGTAGACATATTGAGCATTGACAAAATGGTGGATTTAGAGCTTGACATTGTGAAAGGAGGAAAGCCACTTAGCTTTTTCTTATACGTTTGACTTCAAAATGTTTTCAATAATAATGCCTTTGTTACTGTCATATGCGCTTTCTAGGAAATTGTTTGTTTACTTAAGCATCCTTTGATTTTTTCAGCAGAAACTTCACTCAAGACCATATTGATATATATCTCCCGACCGGACGACAGCATCCGCGTACCGCCGACTCCCGACTTCCGATCCACTGCTGCCGTCGACGTCAACGCTCTCTCCTACTGCCCCCCAGCTTTTACTCTTCTACTGCATTCAAGTTATGTGTCTTCCTCTACAATTTGATATCATGTTTTCTTTTTAAAATGCATACTATGAAGCATGTTACATTGTTATGTTTAGTCTTGGAGGTGTAGTGTATGTATGTTTCTTATTTAATGTTTTCATATCTCGCATATATGTTTGTCGAAACATGTTAGGTTATTTTTTTTCGAAAACTCATATGTGATGTTATATATGAGTCTTAGGGATGTTTTTACTTGGACTAGAATGTTCTGGTCTGATCTGATCCGGTCCACTAATCTGGTCTGGTTTGATATATTTATGTCTGATCTGGTCTAGTTTGATAGATGTTTGGTCTATGTGTATTTTAAAAATGTTGAGAGATGTAGTCTGGTTTGGTCTAATCTATTTAAGTTGTCATCTACAATAACTTCAGTCAATTCAAACATAAAAGTATTGAGATTTGGAGGAATAAAAGGCAATTTTACTAATATAAAATTGATAGAGTATTAATCTTTAGAGGGAAGTGAGAGCTAGAGAGAAAGAGTAAGCAATTAATATTTCTCAACCCCCTACATCTACTCCCTATGGGAGTATTTATAGGGAAAGTATGGGTTTGGGCTCCCAGGTATTGGGTCTGGGAGGCCCGGTACAAAATAAGGTCTATAATGAGTTGAATACATGATTTATTTGACTAAGTATAAAATCTATTTTGTCGGAGTCCTTTGGCCGATGGAGGGCCTGGCCGACAGAGGACCAAGTTCTGCCCTTGGGCTTTTGGACCATGTTTTGAGCTGATAGGTGTTCGGCCGACGGAGGGCCATTTGGCCGACGGAGGATCACTCTTTTGCTCCTGAGCTTCTGGGCTGCATTCTGAGATCCCGTAAGTTTGGTCGATGGAGGGCCATATGGCCGATGGAGGACCACATGGGTGCCAGCTGTCTTTGTATTTAGTCTTCTGAGTATGTGGGGCATGAGGTCTGGACTGAGACTCGTGAATATACAAATTACTTTGCAGCTACGGGACTATTCACCTCGAATGAACCCCTCGTCCAACCGAGACTCGTCAGCACAAAGACTCCACAAAGTCGTTGGATCAACGAGCCATGCAGACATTTCATACTCGACACCTCGTATTTGGTACCTCATCCTGGAACACGTAGCCGATAGCACACATTGTTGCATACTTATTAGAATAGCTGACTTCATGCATTTGCAACTCAATGGCATGTTATTGTAATTGGGCTTTCCAGGCCCAAGCCTCGGAACCCAACCCACATTTCTCTTATAAATACTCTTCTTGGGTGTATGTGTAAATGGTTTAAAAAAACTAATGAAACTTAAATTTAAATATATTCAATCATTCAAAAACTGACTCTACCAGGAGTTAGGACACCAATATTACTAAAAATTAACTAATGGACAAAAAAATACCTTTTTTTTAAGTTTCGGAAATGTGACTAAAAAGAAGTTGAACTCACTATTTTGCTCTTACTAAAGCCCAGCAAATCCGCTACAGTGAGTCAGTGACCAATGTGTTAGAGTGACCTAATTGACCAATGTGTTACAATGATTTATGTCACAGTGACTATATTCCAGTGACAGATGACACAGTGACTATTTACCCCAATTGTCAATGCCATAGTTACCAACACTTAGTGACCCGGTTCTAGTGGCATCCTGACTACAGTGACATTCGACCCCAAACCACCTCAATCTCAGTGACCAAAGTGATAGTTACCAACGCTCAACGACAATCGCCTCACTAACCACCCGAGCTCTAGTGACCATCCGACTCTAGTGACCACTCGATCACAGTGACATCACTACCCCCGAGAGGAGTATTTATAAGAGAAATCTGGGTTGGGTTCCGAGGCTTGGGCCTGGAAAGCCCAATTACAATAACGGGCCACTGAGTTGCAAATACATGAGGTCGGCTATTCTAATAAGTATGCAACAGTGTGTGCTATCGGCTACGTGTTCTAGGATGAGGTGCCAAATACGAGGTGTCGAGTACGAAATGCCTGCATGGCTCGTTGATCCAATGACTTGTACTCTGATTTCAACACTTTCTGGAGGATCTTTGTGCTGACGAGTCTCGGCTGGACGAGGGGTTCATTCGAGGTGAATAGTCTCGTAGTTGCAAAGTAATTTGTATATCCATGAGTATGTGGGTAATGGGACTGAGCTCATATACTCTATTAGAAGTCCCTCACTCTCTTAGCCAAGAGGTGTCGAGACGAGAGGGAGTAGAGCATTATATGATTTGCAGCTTGTCAGTTGATTTTTGCATTTTCAGTGTTTGGCTGAGGCATATGCGCTTCTGTCGGAGGTGTAGTGGTTCTGTGTGGGATGAATTATTTTTGCAATATAATTTTCTATTTAGCCGAGGTGGAGTCCCGCGGTCTCCCACTCCTTCAAGCCGAGAGATACTTTTGAGTTGAGGAGTAGATTACATGTATGCCGAGGTGCCACATGCGAATTGTTCCGGGGATCCAATCTCTTTAGGGAACCCTGATCAACGAAACCATTAGGGAAAATCCTTGGACGAAAGTCGCTGGCTAAAGACCATCACCGACGGACGTGGTTCGAGGCGCGGTGTGTGCGCGCACACACACACACATTTGGTCAATATTTTTTGATCAACCAATGTTAAAGTTAAATCCTCCCTATTGATAAATAATTCAATTTTAATAATTAAATTTACATATTAAGAAAATATATTAAAATTTATGTAAAGTTGCAAAATTAAAATGAAAAATTTAATTAAAAATTGATACCTTAATTAAGTGAATAAAATGAAGAAATAATGTCAAAAATAAGAGTCTCAAGTTCCAATGGGACAACAATGGGACTTACTTCTAAATTTGACAAAAATAGGACATAATGGTTCATCGGTCACCGACTCTGTTCCCGTTTCCTTCTCTCAGCACCAAACTACCAAAGTCCCTTCAAGCCACAACATCCATCCGCAACCAATGAACGACCTTTAAACCATGGCCGGGCTATGGAATCTGTTGCGGCGGCGGTGAACCAGATTTGGAAGTGATGAGCCCATATTCAGCTTCCCCCTAAAACTCCAACGGTGGAGTTCAAATTTTTTTTAGAGTAAGTTTACAACGACGGTTGGAGTAATTGAATAAATAATTTCCATGGGTTACATAATACACAAACGATTAGTTTGATTAGTGGAATTCGATAGGGGGTTTTAGATTCAGAATTCGACAATGTGGGTTCCCCCTTGGGGCTCGACCGGGGTCCGAGGGAGTGCATGGAAAAGGCGCACTGGTCAAGGTCGGGTTGGTCATTGATCAGATTGGTCATAGTCACTGGACGGATAATTAGTCATTGGTTGGATTGGTTATGGTGAGTGTCCGAGTTGGTCACTGGTCAAATTGGTCATGGTTACTGACCGGATTGATAACGGATCAGATTGGTCATGATCACTACTTGGATTGGTCACTCGTCGGATTTGTCACTGACCGGATTGGTCACTGGTAAGATTGGTCACTGATCGGATTGGTCACTGGTCAGATTGGTCATTGTAGTAGTTTAGTCTCATTTTCGGAATTTTTTAAAAGTGATCCTATTTATTTCTATAGCATTCATTTTAGTATTATCTATATATTTTTAGGGGTTTTTACCTAAATATTACTAAAGTAAAGATAATTTCCAAAAATGTGACCACATTAACATTAGGACAAAAATGTGACTAAAAGAACATATTTATGTCATTGTCAAATTTTATTGGCACTGCCTAATTATAATGTCACTATCAAATGTCACTACCGCCACCGTTGGTGTCACTGTCACCACCACTCGTGTCACTGTAGCCACCGTCTGTGTCACTGTAACCACTGTTCACTGTAACAAGGGTCGTGTCACTATAGCAACCGGTCAGTGTCATTGTAGCCAATGCTGCTGCCGGCCATCAGCGCAACAGACACCTTCGGCCACCGTCGGCGACCACCACCATCGGCCACGGCCGGTGACCACCACCATCGGCCACGGCCGGTGACCACCACCATCGGCCACCGCCAGCTACCACCACCAGCGAACACCACCGCCAACACCACATCCCCAGCCTCCTACGTCACCCCAGTCCACCCTCCAGACCCACCCTCCAGCCCCCACCGTCACCGGCAATCTGCCACCACCCTCTCAGCGGCAACTCCACGAGCGACCGGCGCTACCACCCCAGCCGCCAGCTCTCCAGAACCACCAGCCAAGCCCCACCCCAGGGGCCAACCTCCGGAGCCCCTCTCCAGCACCCACCAGCCCAGCCCCTGAGACCATACACCACCGCCCACCCTACCCAAAAATCCTAGCCATCAACCAAGGTGTAGCCGTCGTCTCCACCTCCAGTCGACGGTGCTCAGATTCGCCGCTGCTGGGAGCGATTTTCTTCCCCTGATTTTATAACCTTCTTTCAGATTCGCCTCGATCGAGATCTGACCTTCAAATCTGTTAGGGATCCGGCCGATTTAGAAGAAAGCAGAAGAAGATATGAGTGGAGGCGACGCGATGGGATGTGCGGCAGCAGAGCTCGAGGCGGTGGCTTCATCCATGGCAGCAGCAGAGCTCACAGGCGGAGGAGATGGAGAAGGTTGAGATGCGGAGGAGATTGAAACTGCTCTGTGTGTCGCCTTCTCAACCCCGGGGTTCATGCGTAGGAGGAATGAAGAAATGGAGGTTTATTTGAGAAGAAGAAGTTGGAGGTTTATCTGGAGAAGCCTTCAACCAACGCAAGGAAGCGCAGAGAAGAGCGCAAAGAGTGGATGGTTACTCACTTTTTTGTCCAAATTAATTTTGGTCATATATTTGTCTATAAAAAGTTGAGTGGTAATACTTATACCATTATTTCATATTTTTATCTTTATGCTCCCTCCCTTTTATTCATCTTTACACTTTCCTTTTTTGAAAGTACCATATTAAACTTTACACTTCCTTATTTGCCTTACAAATCTACACCAAAGGGTGCCAAACAGTGTAATCTACAATAAAGTCAAATTTATTTCCTTAATATTTGTGAAGTCAAACTGTAAAGGTATTTGTGGTTGAACCTGTTTTCAGTTAGGGTCATGTGTTTCATTCTTTATCAAAGTGGTTCATGTGTTTGAATTTCCTTATCACAAGAGGGTCACGCCGTTAAAAACGTCTGAAAAGACCATTAAAAGTAACTCCAATATTTAAAAGTGCCCGAAAAATGAAAAGAAAAATACCGGAAGGTGCGCCTCAATAAGACGACCGGTAGGCTATCTTTCTTTTTTGTTTTCAGTCACCCTTATCATCATTAAGTCCATCAGAAATATTCCCACCCAATTTACATCCTCCCGACGCACCATCTTGTCGGGGTTGGGGGCCTCTCGGGGATGGGATGTCATCTTTTTTTTCCTAATATTTCACTAACGCTACCAGACTAGGCGGAGTCAGTGGCGGATCCAGAAAGTCGGAGCCACGGGGTCCCCATCCTTTTATATCTCTAATCTATAATTAATATAAAGCTAAGGTCGTTTAGAAAATGAAGTGACATAAATAACCGTTCATTTAGAAAATTAATAATCGTTTGTTTAGAAAAATAATATTTATGTCACAGATAGAAAAATACTACGTAATATCCAATCATTATAGTATGTTTATTCCAATAACTTTCTAAACGAACGATTATTTAGGACACCTTAAAATAATAAATAGGGATAATAACTTTAAATAATACAAACTATCTTCGATGACCAATAATAATACATACTTTAGAAATAGCTTTTAATAATATCAATTATTTGAGTGTAGAACAAAAATAAAAAGGAGTCACTTTTTAAAAAAAACACTCATTTAAGACATTAAAAACTACTCCCCCAGTCCCGAATTCATCGTCTCATTTGACTTTTCACGGTTATTAAGAAATTAATTTGACTTCACACTGTAGTGACACTGTTTGGCACTGTACCGACACTATTTGGCACTGTAGCGACACTGTTTGGCACTGTTTTGCACTGTTTGACACTGTTTTGTATAGATTTGTTTGCCAAATAAGGAAAGTTTCAAAATGGGACAATTATTTCGGGACGGACCGAAAAGGAAAGTGGGACAATTATTTCGGGACGGAGGGAGTAATATCGAACCAATAAATAATATTCAAAAATACGCTTACTAACTTTATATTTTGATACCAATTTTTTATGAATTACTCCGTAAATGACTAATGTTTTAGTAAAGAATTGCTATGTATTAGTGTTAGTACTATTTATGCTCTTTTCCCTTGCCAAAAAAAGTTGTTTTCCCTAATAAATAGGGAAAAAACAAAAAGGAACACCTAAGGAAATTAAACCTTGAACCTCCATGAGTAGGAAAGTTTTAAATTCAAGCATTCTTCCAATGCTCCAATGCCAAATTCATGTTTTCAATTAGCTTTCACCTTATATATACATTGTATTATTAATTTATATAAAACACATATAATATGTGTATTTCTTTGAAAGTTCATGGGATCTCGGGACCCCGTGGGACCTTTGGTGGGTCCGCCGCTGGACGGAGTAGGCCTAATCCGTCTCAACTAGATTATGATTTAATTTTATACGTAGTACTCCGTATATACTTAGCCATTTCTCAAGCGTTCGGGATATCTAGGTGTATATTCAAGGCAACATCACAACCGCTACAGCCAATGTCACACGCAACATCATCAGATATTTTGACATCAACAAGCATGTTCTTCAACTATTTCAGGGAAAAGTATGAGTCTCTCATTAGCTAGCATTTTGGTATAAAGCATAAGTATTGTACTTTCCTATATATAGTCACAAGAAATGGTCGAATTTTCATATTCTTTTATTCTACCAAATTTATTACACAACTTTCTCACTCTAAATATACTCTAACTTCTCTCTAAATATTGCCTACCCGAGATTCTATGACTCATCAACGAATACTTGAGAATAAAACCTTAAAAAATGTGCCACTTGCTCTCACTAGTCATCCCAAGCAGATAGCAAAAGCTATGAGAACATGACAGACGCGTGAACTTTTAGCGCAATCTTTCCCAAAGAAGGAAGATTCCAATTAGGGTACACATATATGGAAAACAGAGAAGTGACGTAGTTCGACTTTTGGTGTCAGATAGCCAATTAGAATTCGTCGGATTACAAGAATAGGGAAACAAAATAAAAAACTAAATGATGTATTTAATGCATCCAAAAATCAAATTAAAAAATCAGATAGGCAACGTCATGTGTACTTTTTTCTGATTGGCTGGTACAGATTTTGTAACGTATCCAAAAAGTCGGATTCATGCTAACTTTTTTTTTGAAAAGGCTAATGTTTTGTTAAATATAATATCTTACTAAATAATGTAAAATTAAATACATCAATTAAGTTATTTATTAGGTATAGGAATCTAAAGGAACTCCAAACTTGTTTTCATTGATGAGTGAAGGAAAACCTCAAATAATGTGAATCCAAAAAAATGCTTAAAAGCATTAGATTCATGCTTATATTGTCTATTCTAAATTTTAATGGCCAATATAAGATTCATGTATAACCTCGCTGTTTTAAATTGGCTCTTCTCCCCTAGTAAAATGATATTTCAAGAAATAAAGAAATACTTGTTCTTTTAAAATGTACAATTGAAAATAGGAATTTACTTAAGTGATATATGTATGTTGTACCAAACATGTCCTGATTTAAGCTTCTCATTGAAAAATGATACAATTATTTAGACAATAACAAAATACGATAAATCAAGTATATTTTCAAAAGTGATTTTGAAAAGTGTGTAACATAATGAATTCATTGATGATAATGGTAAAGTTATTGGTGTATTTTTAAAAAATATTTAATCATTAAAGTTTCATTTAAGAGAGTGTTTTCCTGGAATAATGCTAATTAAATATATTATTCCCAGAATACTGTCGGGTTAAGAATAATTCCCAAAATACTGCTGGAATTAACCACGGTTAAGGAAAGTCGCCGCTTCAAGTGGCGGCTCTTGTATTACTTCACAAAAACCGCCACCCCGAGTGGTGGCTCTCCTCTTACGTCCCATTTTGTACATATATAAAACGTATTATATTTCAAGAATTTGTTTAACTGTCTTCCCGATTGAATTTTGAGTTGAAAATCGGTATGCATAAACTAGACTTTATTAGGAACATGCTAAAAAAAAATCATAAAAAAATTCCACCGGAAACACCCTCTGATAGTGTTGTCCGCGGGGGGGTTCCGGTTAGGACGTCATGACAAAAGGGTGGTCCGGCCACCTCAATTTGAGGTGATTCCCGGTGAGATGTTTTTCTAAATTTGTTTGTGTATGTTATTCATCAAGTCTAGTTAATCCATATCAAATTTCAGAACCAATCTCAATCGGGAAAGCAGTCAAATGATTTTTTAAAGATAACTGTGTTTTATATGTATAATCCGGCGTAGTTATCTTTCAAAAATCGTTTGACGGCCTTTCGGATGGAATGTTTTGCTCAAATTTGGTATGACTGAACTAGACTTTATTAAGAACATACAAAAAAAATTCATCAAAACATACCACCGGGAACCACCTCAAATTAAGGTGGTCGGACCACCCTTTTGTCATGACGTCCTGACCGGAACCCCTCGCGGACAACACCATTAGAGGGTGTTTCCGCTGGAAGTTTTTGATGACATTTTTTGAGCATGTTCCTAATCAAGTCTAGTTTATGCATACCAAATTTCAGCTCAAAATTCACTCGGGAAGGATGTTAAACAAATTCTTGAAACATAATGTGTGTTATATATGTACAAAATGGGACGTAAGAGAAGAGCCGCCTCTTGAAGTGGCGGCTTTTGTACTATAAGAGAAGAGTCGCAACTCAGAGTGGCGGCTTTTGTGAAGTAATACAAGAGCCGCCACTTGGAGTGGCGGCTTTCCTTAAGTGTGGTTAATTCCAGCAGTATTTTGGGAATTATTCTTAACCCGATAGTATTTCAGGAATAATTTATTTAATTAGCATTATTCCGGGAAAAAAATCCATTTAAGATGTTGATTATTTTCTAAAAAAGAAGTGAAAAGATTAAGAGCCCGTTTGGTAACATTAAAATTAGCTGAATTGGCTGATTCTGCTGAAATTTATGAAGTTCTTGCTGAAGTTGCTTTATTGGTTGATTCTGTTGATTCATAAAAAAATTATGTTTAAAATATTTTTATTAATAAATAAAATAAAAATTATATGAAAAAATAGCTAAAATAATCCTCTACAGTAACTTCAGACAATACAGCCAGAAAAGTAACTTCAACCTTACTTTTTCTGCTTATTACATAATTCAGCGCGCGAAATCAAAAATTACGTGTTTGGTGAAAAAGCTGGCTGATAAGCCTCATAAGCCGAAAAAGGGTCACCAAACGGACTCTAATTTGGGACGGAGGGAGTATGGTTATAAGAATGGTAATTGATGATACTTTTTTTACACCAATGGTAAACATACTAACACATTTATTACTTGTGTAAACCATGATGTACATTATGTAATTTCCATCTCATATTTGTAAACATTGTACATTCGATTTATAATTTAAAAAAAATTACTCCCTCTTTGCCGTTAAGTTGTCTCATCTTTGGTTATCTGCTATATACCCACCTTCCAATTTTAAAATGGTCTAATTTTCATATTCTGTTATTTTGCAAAATTTATTACACAACTTTCTCACTCCCAAGATACTCTAACTTCTCTCTAGATATTGACTACGAAAGTTTTTACTTGGACTGAAATTTGATGATCCGGTCTGGTCTGGTCTGATCTAGTCTGGTTTGGTCTGAACTAGTCTGATCTAGTTTTGTTAATA